GCCGCTTTGCGGAATTTGGAAGTTCATCAAATGGACGTAAAAACCGCTTTTTTAAATGGCGATATAGACGAAGAAATCTATATGGAACAACCTGAGGGTTTTCGTGTTCCAAGCCAAGAAAAGAAGGTTTGTAAATTAATTAAATCATTGTATGGATTGAAACAAGCCCCTAAACAGTGGCATGAAAAGTTCGATCATGCAATGTTAATTAATGGGTTTAAGATAAACGAAAGTGACAAATGCGTCTATGTGAAAAGCACGGTAGACGGCTATGTCATTTTATGTTTATACGTGGATGATATACTCATCGTGGGTAGCAATAATCAAATGATTAATTCTACCAAAAGCATGTTAAATTCTAAGTTTGACATGAAGGATATGGGGCTGGCCGATTTAATCCTTGGGATTAAAATAATTAGAGGACCTGACGGTTTAACGCTAAGCCAATCCCATTACGTTGATAAAATCCTTACTAAATTTAATAAGGATGATTATCAAGAGGCAAGGACGTCATTAGATAAAAACACTCATCTTACCAAAAATCGTGGGGAGTGTATTTCTCAAGTAGAATACGCTAGGATTATTGGAAGTTTAATGTATCTAATGAGTTGTACCAGGCCTGATATTACCTTTGTGGTTAGTAAGCTTAGTAGATATACTAGCAACCCCGGTGATGAACACTGGAAGGCAATAGTAAGGGTTTTGAGGTATTTACGGAAAACCCAAAACCTTGGACTGCACTATGGAAGATATCCAGCTGTACTTGAAGGGTATAGCGACACTAGTTGGATATCTGACATTAAGGACTCAAAATCCACAAGTGGATATGTTTTCACTTTGGGAGGTGCAGCCGTGTCGTGGAAATCCTCGAAACAAACGTTAATAGCTAGATCCACGATGGAATCTGAGCTAATAGCCTTGGATAAGTGCACTGAAGAGGCTGAATGGCTACGCCATTTTCTAGAGGATATTCCAAGTTGGGAGAAGCCTGTCCCTCCAATATGCATACATTGTGATTGTCAAGCGACAATTGGAAGGGCACAGAGCAATCTCTACAATGGTAAGTCTAGACACGTTCGTCGTAGACATAACACCATTAAACAACTTCTCACAATGGGTGTTATCACTGTTGACTACGTGAAGTCAAAGGATAACGTAGCGGATCCGCTAACCAAGGCATTGGATAGAGAATTGTTGGAGAAGTTGTCACGAGGAATGGGACTAAAGCCCGTGAATTGAAAAGTTCTATAGTGGATACCCAACCTAGTTGGTCCTAGGTTCAAAAGGGACAACTAAATTATAGGGCGAAGGATGGTCACTGTGGGGGTCCCGGACTCCTACCCACTCCTCGTTTAAAACAGTGACTCCCGCACGAGGTTAGCAAAAACGTTTGCTTTAATGATTCTAAAATGTTGATCTACTCGACAACATTGGAAGAGTATGCGGGATACTCGTGAAAGAATCACCTATGTGAGAGAGAAGAGGGCCGCTTCAAAGGAGAACTGTAATGGCTCAGTTCTTTAGAAACTCTTGCAGAACCAGGACGGTGATCCATGGCCAAAACGGGCACACCCATGAGAACGGAACAAAGTTGGAAGGTTCTTGTGTAAAGATAAGTCAATGTTTACACGACGGCAGTATAGTTCAAGGACATCGAGTCTACTAGACAGCCAGTAAATAAACGTGTCTTTACAGCAGAAGGTTCAAAGGATAAAACCTACCTCTCCGTGTGCAGGGATCATCCGGTGAAAACAACGTGTCCTCCTATCTTCGTGTCTTTTTAAGTCTCGAAAATCAATTTTCATTCATGTGGGGGATTGTTGGAAAAAGTGTGTTAAAAGTGCATTAAATGGTCATTTGGGGCAATTATTTGAGTAGAGTCCACTTCCGATTTGGGTCGGGTCAAAGTGGTTTCGGATTGTCCTTGCTAAGGGCTACAATTCGATATATGGTACACTAAAAACGGATAACGGCTGAATGAGAAATTGTTTTTCGAAGTTTACCCGTTGGAATGGAGAAAACTAGGAAAATGTGGGTTTTAGTGTGAGTTCTTTCCCACACCGAAAATCACAAGGGAAATTGAACCCTTTATAAAGGGAAACCCCCCCTAAGGAGTTAATATTCCTAAAGGGAAAGGCTCTCTCACGCGTGCAGGGGGGATGCGAATCAAATCCCGAAACCGAAGAACAAAAACCACGACTTGCGTGTCCGGGCGACCTGCACACACGGAAGCCGTCCGAAAATCTATGCCCAACGTTTAGGACATTGATGTCCAACGATCATAACCCTTAAACAGACATTAACACACCTTAATCCACCCCTATAAAAGGCTAGTAGGTGCTTTGCAAAAAAACAACCCTTTCATACACTTTGTTCACGTATTTTCATAGCTAAAACAGCACCTCCAGCACTCCATACAAACTCCTTCGGTGTTCTGCTTTTGTTCACGTTCGTTGGAACTTTAGTTTGAGTGCTAAACTATTGTTCGAAGTCATCGTATCCTGGGAAACGATCGTTGCAACGCCCCTAGCACCCCAGGAGGCAACGAATACGTTTTAAGGAAATCGTGCGTAGCACGAGCTTTGGCTTATTCTGCTTCATCTCATTTCTTGTTTTTCTTTAAGTCATTTTATTTAATTAATCTTTATTAATTAATTTTATTTGTTTTTCGAAACACACCCAACAACATTTTCACGACTTGCCTCATGAGCAAACATTGAAGAGTCATGGTTGAAGTTCATGTGAGGCATACCGTTGAAGTTTTGTGGTAGTCGAGGAGAAAAAAAACTCTGCTTAGTAGAAAAAGGATTCAGATCTTATGGAAAATAGTTTATTTTTGGAGTAAACATGGGTCCATTATTTAATGGAATAGTAGCATGAGAATATTGTACAACATTAGAATTATTTTGCAATAGCTGCATAGCCATTCCAAAAATCGGATGAGCAGGATCAATTAGAAATTTTTTACGGAAGATTGTTGTGCAGAATGAGGAATTCTTTGGAATGGGGGGGGGGGGGGGGGGTTGTTGGTGTAGTATATAGGGGGAGAATGGTTTGGATCCGTTTTCAAGGAGAAAAATATTCTAAAACAGATAAAATCATATGCAAGAGGGAAGAAGTGGTAAATTTCGAAATGACTAAACATATCCTTCATTGATGTCTATTTATAGAAGGGAAAAAAATCTGATTTTTGGTATATTTTTTTTGTAAAATAAATTAATTTAATGCATAAAATATTAGATTAAAGAGTTGATAGGGTTTGTGGCTAGAAATTTGGGAGGAGAATCCTCTTGGCTGACATTCCCATTCATTTGCTCCATCCACTCGACTAGATTAAAAAAATGTCAGATCTCATTTTTAACTCATCATCTTAATCGATCACATAGTGATCTTCCATAGTGGGGGTCAACCCCCACCCGTTTTAGAGCACCCACAATAACACTATCATGTTCTTATAGTAAGTCTTACCTTACCACATCATTAATGAGCAAACTTATAATTTAGTGTTATATCCATAACTAAAGTTGGGCTGCGTTTCTCACAAGACTTTTTATTCTTAACCGTCTTGCTTCTGGATATAATTAAGCGTGTATCAAATTTTTAGTTCAAGGTTCAACATAACGTCACAATGCATGACAAACATCAAGTTCATGTTCTAAAAGTGAAACTTGACATCAACTAATGGATGGAATCCCTAACGGATGCCCTAATGTTGGGTTCATATAGTGATTTCCTATCAACTAAGATTTATAATATCAAAATATATTTTGTTTCAAATGGAAATTATCAACGAAAATCCACATTATTCATTCTTAAAATGGTGTTGTTTTTTTTATCATAATAGAGCGGTCGTTATATTAAAATCGAGAACACATACAAGACAATCTTCTGACAGAATTTATAAATCCAATCGTGAACCCTAGGAGTAGACATAGAGTCAGACACCTCATGCAAAGCAATATGACTCGCTAAACCTGAAATAGACAAATTTAGGCCTAAAATGATCAGAACTGAAACCCTGTTTATCAAAAGAACTCCAAAACTCCAAACATTCAAACCAAATCTACTTGGACTAAAACAGAATCAAGTGCTATTAAAGAGAAAATAATAATGAAATAAAATCTTTCCACAAAGCTCTTCCTGATATGGAGGTGGTTCCGGAGGAGGATGAGCTCTTACAATATGGGTGAATAACAACTCCACCGCCGTCGGAATGACCGACCAATGCTTCACGATCCCGCCTTGATACAACCTATCAGTCGCACCTCATTCATCCACCAATGTTATCTCATCCGACGTAGTTACAATCCCAAGTGTTAGAACTCTTAAAATCAATATAATCTGCCGCTCCAACTCCATATTGATAGGGGCGGCGGAAAATCTTAACCCCTACAAAGAGGAGAGACCGCCGCTAGGGTTCCTCTTTCTCTAAAATGGTGTTGCTTTGGAAAGTTTCATGTATATTATATATGATGAGTTTGCTTAAACAAATGAAAAATTAACAAATTTTAAAAAAATATTTAGATATAATTGTTATTATACTACGGGGTTATTTGAGATTTGTTGTGTAGTTTTTTTAATAGTATAAGAATTTTGAAACTTATAGTGTGAAGTGTATAATCGAATTCTTACAAATATAATGAGATAATTAATTTGAAACCAAATGTGTGTTTAAAAGCGATATCCTAATTAAAAACGGAGCATCCTTGGATGTTTCATACAGTAATAATTCAATTAGAGTGTGACAAAAATATCATCTATTTCATGCAATTATAATTGTATTATAACAAACTGAGGATTATATACTAGCAGCCAACAATGTAAATGGACATTTTTAATGGAAAAGACCACTGTTTATAAAACACTAAAATAAGTAGATAGAAATGAACTATGAGCAAATTTAGAGAATAAAGAAAATCATTGATTAATAATTATTATAAGAATGACATCGATCAACTAGACTGGTTAGTTCTAGTCACAGATCAAACAAAATTTAAATAGATAATACTAATTTACGGCTATTAATCTCTCTTTTTATTTCTACTTAGCCTTAAAATACAGACAATACACATTATTTAAACTCTCCGCATCATGTAGTTCTATTTCAAGTCTCATTGGGTTCACTTCTACAACCCAATATATGAAAATCATAAGAAAAAATACAAAACATTATCAAATAAGTTACACTTGCAACTAATCCATGATTCCAACAAGTCTTCACTTTCTAGAAGGTATCTACTATCATCACCAACTTGTAGAATCACCTCACACCCTCTTGGAATACAAGTGATCAAGTAACCAAGGTTTTTGCATTCTTAAACAGGGAAATATTGTGTTTTTTTTATAATTACTACTTATTCCTACAAACAATAATTTGAACAGCTCTCAGAAATGGGTACATCATGTACAATGTATAGTATTCTTCCATAAGATGTTTGAAAGCTGCCTTGTTTCTGGTTCAACCATAACTCCATAGTTCCATGCAATCTTGAAATTATGCTTTTAGCTTAAGATATGTGTTTATAACTCCCATCATCTCACTCCCAGAGAACCGTCCAAGGCAACCTCTTGCTGCTGCTATTTCATTGAACTCTGCTACTGAGTCCCCGCTAAAACCCTTGCCCTTCTTTCTCCTTTCTACTCCCAAATCAGCAGTCAAAATGTCTTTACCGTCATTGTTCATTGGAAGGGGAAATGGATCCAATGAGGTTTCTGACAGGACTGCCTCTCCCCCAACAGCACCCACAAAGTCCTTCAGACTACATAATGAGAAAGGGACAGGTTCAAAGCTGTGGTCCCCATATTCGACGGGTGTTGAGTGGTCCCCAGTGACACAAAGGAAGAACTCGAATTTCCCCGATGATTGTGCTGACCATAGAAGTTTTGCCAGCTGTCCAAGAGCACGGTCCACCGCTTCAAGTCCTTTTACTTTGAATACACTGGCTTTATCGTGGCCAGCATCGTCTATTGCCTGGAAACCAGGAAATGAAATAATTACTTCCGAGTCTATTATTGAGAGATCAAGGCAGTAAATAAAAAGGATACATTTGGAATTTGGAAATTGGTAGGGAGGGCTGAGATTTTTTGGAACATGGAAAATGCTAGGGAAAGAAGGGGAGCCTTGGCAGCGGCCTCTTGTCAAAATTTGACAGGGGAAGACTTGCTTCTTATGGTTGTACCATTCCCTTGACCCTCACCTTGTGCGGATGCCTTCGTGCACCGGGCTGGCCTTTTATGGAAAATGCTAGGGAAAAATATATGAAAGGAATGTAGAGATGAAATTTGAAAGGAACGAAAACATACTGAACGAAATAAAAATATTGCTTTAAACTCAGTATACCATCAATGTATCATATCTATAGTTCATACTCATTGTATTCAGATAGTCTGTATTTCAATTATACGGACTATGAAATCCAAATTTATGTGAAGTATTAACCAAATTTGATCAGACTTCATATTTTCAAAGGTAAAACCAAACAAAATAAAAGACATGTTAATATACCCAGTAATTTTCAATTTCCCCAATTCCAAACATAGGCTAAGGAAAGTGGGGTTTCATGCTTGTTTTACCTTTGAAACTAAAAAGAAAAATCAAATTTAAATAAAACTATTCAAAATTGTACATCAATTAGATTTCTCAATCTTTACGTTACCGAAATATTTAAGTTCTAATTAGTACGAACAATTAATTAAAATGCCTATGAACTGGAAGCAATTGCATTTTTTATTTTTCTCCAGTAATTTTTTCCATTCAAATGTCTTGCACTCTTGCCTATTTCTTTCCCTAACATCATCTGCTTTCTGAACAGACTTTTATGATTTGTTTGGTTTGGTGATCCTAGAGGAAGGAAAAGAAAAAGTTTGATTTTTATTGTACTAATCTATCTCTATTTGTTAGTTTTAGACTAATAATAACTACTCACTACTCGTATATGATTAGTTATAGCATGTGTTTCTATTCATTTTTTACTCGGACAAAGTACTTCAAATCATTAAAATGTGGAAATAACTTAAAATAAATATCACTTCTCCGCCTCCTCCCCTCCGAAACCCTACAAGAAACTTCTATAGAACTAGTTTTGGCTACTATTCAAAAATCTTAGAAACAAACATAGTGACCTATCATATCACCTTAATGTGAAGGAATCCAAAGTCATAACCATCAGATCCACCAGGCTTATGCTCGTCTTCACCAGGAACAAAAACATTTGGGCAAGGCTGCAGAGGGGCAGAAAGGGCATCGGCTATGGCAATTGCTTTGGATGTTAATATCGTCCGGTAGTCTCCCGTTGCTCCAGGAGCTTCTAGAATATCAATCCCAAGAGATAGACCCAACCCAGCTATGATCTTGGTAGGAGCTACCATGCATGGGCGAAGCCCATGTATCTCCTCAAATGCAGGAACCTAAACAGAATAAAAAAACACAGACGATTTGAGAAAAGTAAGAACTCACAATCTGAATAAAATATATTCTTTTCTGCATAGTTTCATGTCAATCTAAATGATATGTTAGGGGCAATGAAAATGGATGGGAATAATACAAATTATTTACAGAAACAGTTTTATATTTCTATTTACAGTGGAAAATCACATTTAATTAAATCATACTTGGATTTGTTAGCTATATGTAATAGAGCTCTAAATACAATGAGTTTGAACAAATATCTCATATTAAATTTTCAAGTTCAAAGATTTTTTTTATTTTCGAATGGAGGGGAGAGAGAGAGACCTCAATTCGAATGCCACAACCTCTCAAGAGGACAACATTGGCAATGCTTTTTCCTTCGGCAGAGCGTTTTGCATTCAGTGGGTGAGAAACGAGAATGCGCGACATCTCTTTAGAAAGTTCATTAACAACTATGGCTGTGTGAATTGCCTCTTCTGTATCATCAAGAGCCTCCACTTGTAAAAGAAGGCGGTTGTCCTTCAATGGGTCAGTTCCTGATATATTTCCACTTAACTTTGGTCCCTTTACCACCACACCACACCTGTGCTCTGTGGCATACCTAAACAAATAAAATGGAAGTGCATAAATAAATGACAATAGCTCTCCCCAATTTGGGGGTTAAAGAACTTCATATTTTAAAGAAGCAATGAGAACAGAGTTGGGAGTGCGAAGATAGAATAGAATTCTTTTTTTTTTGGACAAAGGTATATTTTCAAGGTAGGCTCTTTGTTTTGGGACATGAGGGAGTGTGTAATAAAATTTTAGAAGGAAAAAGTGGAAGTCATTGTAATCCAGAGTTATGTTGGCCTCTCCATGTATGTGGAGGTGTCATGCAAGGATAAAAATGTCAGAAAACTGATAAAGAACATACACCTCACTCTAACTTCATATTCAGGAAAAGAAGGTAGTTTCATTCCATCCAAAGCAGCACAAAGAACTGGACCTTCTTCTTCAAAATGTCTATCAGCTCTCCTGCTTAAAACTACCCCAGTTGCCAAATCCAGAGTAGCAAAGTTCGACTAGAACACCAAAAGTCAGAATAAGACGAAGAAACATATTTTACGGATAATTTGATCCACATCATTTAACAAAATGAATAATGTCAAACTAATGAAGCATCCTACGAGTTACAACAGAAAAACATATACATAGCAAACTAACATAATAGGCGGTAGACTATTCCTCGTGTTTGATCTTTCAGGGTAGAACCCCAAATCTCAATAAAAGCCCAACATGATGACATATTTCAATAAACTATAATTACGAAAGGCACAACACGAGGAAAGAAAGTGAAATCCAAGCCGTTCCAAAAGAAAGGACAAACACACAGTGACACACACACACACAGAGAATCAAACAATGCATACCTTAAATGCGATATCACCAGGCAACATTGCCAGGCCAGCTCCCATAGACTCAAATGCACCTCTTCCCCGGTAATACACCCTTGGATCATACCCCATCAAAGACAGATGAGCCGTGTCACTCCCGCATGCAAGGCCCACTTCCACAGGATCCATCAGACCATTAACTCCAGCTGAAGCTATAGTATCCAAATTTGGAATCTTAGCTGCTTCCAAAGGAGTCTGGTAACCAAACCTTGGCAGAGATACATCCCCCAAGCCATCAATAAGCACGAAGGCCACTCTTTTCTTTGGTTGTTCAGAGCCGCCCATTCTTAACTCAATAAGCCCTCAAACTGATCCACTGCAATTCAACAACTAAATATAAAACACATAAAAATAGTTCCTCAAGATTTCAGAAAGCATATCAAATGCTATTTAGGACACTGGGATATTATCACATGCAAAGTGATATGAAGACTTAATTTTCTTTTTTTGTGGGGTGGGGGTGAGGTAGGCTTGAAGATATTTCAAGTATTCACATTTGTTAGTTCCATGGAATCTGATTCTATAGATGTTTTTCCGCATTGAATGAGGAATGGTATCATAGTCTCTCAGGACTAGATTTACTTTTCAGATGATAAGGAGGAATTATTTTATGGCATGGCCAGTTGGCCAGAACTTTCGATGGTCAAGTATGAAGTATCAATCGAAAGAATTGAATCAAATTCCTAACCTTTAAATTCCAATAAAAGTAATGCCTTTCCATACACACAAAAGGCTTCCAGATCAAAATCAGGGCTATTTCTGATATAAGCAGATTAAGGGCAAAAGAGGAGAAATTTAAGAAGACTGTAGTGGGCGCTGGAAGAAAATATGGAGAAATCTTTTGTTTTTCAGAATAGCATCCTTCAGCCTTGGGGAAGCAACAATCCGCTGCCTGATGGTCTCCGTCGATCGACGATGGGGAGGAAGAAGCTGGGCCCAGTTCAATTTTTTATTAATCATGGGCCTAGACGGCCAGTGTGAAGTAGTGTAGTAGTTCTTTTCATCGCCAAGGCCCAAATTGCCCAGTCAACAATGACTATGCCCGCCAATGTTTGGATATTGGCATTTTAGGCCGAACTGCCGAACTGCCGAAGCGCCATTTTTCAACAACGGTAAACGCTGGTTTTTGCAGCGTTTTAGCGTGAAAACGCTAAAAAACAAAAGACCCCTATAACTTTACGGTTTACAATATTATTACATACAGTATGATAGACAATTACTTAAGTGTTTGCTTCATTTTTACTATGGATTCATATTGTTGTAATCAATCCATTTACGACAGATTCAAATGGTGAATATGTTCTTGATTTTTAGATATAATTTGTTGAGTATTGTAAAGATGTGTATATTTACAATCATAATTGAAAATAGATTGGTTGAAAATAAAGGGTTAAGAAGAAATATTTTACCATCTATGTATAAAAATAATACGGACTAAGAAATTATATTTACACACATATTCACTAGTTTCAAACGTCTTGGAAATTTTATGGATAAAAACGAACTCATATACTATTTACCAAACCTGAAAAGTTATAAGATATGACCCATATTACATATAGGCATATAGGTGAATATAATCTTACAAAATTTGGAAAAAGTATTAATGCGGAGCAATAGAAAACCTACCAGAAATAATAACATACCTTCCTCATTGTATAGATGCAAACAGCGAGGATTTATAAATTTTCACTTTTTCATCTGATTTTTGGTCTTCTTTTACCTTCCTATATTTTTCATTAATCGGTTCTCTATATTTCAGACGTTAAGATCTTAGAGATCTATTATTAATATTTAAAAGCAAAAGATTTTTTGGTTGAAACTCACGCTAAAAAACATCACCATCGGATGAGTCAGCATGTTATATTGCAAAGAAATGCTAACATTTTTATTTGTCCCTTCTCACTAGGGGTGGGCATGATTGGTTAACCGGATTTTGGTTAACCAACTTTCTGGTTAACCGTGAAACTTGTTACTTCGGTTAACCGATTAACCATAACTGAAAATAATTTTCTAAACTTCTATGATCATAATAAAAACTCCATAAGTAAATCAAGTTTTGAAGAAGATAACAGGAATACAAGACACCAATGTTAACAAATACATGACTGCACATACTAGAACTGATATACGAAATAAATCTCCAATATAAAACTCTAGATTTAAATCAAGTCTCATAATTGATCTCCAAAGCAAAAAAAAATAAGCAGCTCAAGTCTACAACAAATCTTCAACTTCAAGATTTCTTTCATTTCCCTACAAAAATAAAAGTGACATATTAAAAGTTGGTCGTTGATATAAAATGAATATCTATTGCATTGTTGTACATGAAATGAATAAAAACAGATAAAGTGATCGAAAAACATAACTCGCTTAAAACAAACTAATAATTTCAAAAGCTAAACTCATTAGAAACTCACCTTCTCAAAATTTTTGAGACAATCTTTCTACATTTGTTCTTCTATCACAACATAACTACTCCTCCCCAACTTCAAGAACTCCATTTACAAAGTAGGTTTGTTGATTGAGAGTTCACAAAAGAATTACCAGCCAGATGGTAAATTTAAAAAAGCTTAGATGTAGTGAATGCCAACCAAATCAAAAAACGGGGGATAATAATAAAAAATTCAAAAGGAAGGCGGATCATCAAACAATAAAAACAGAGGGAGTGTATTATTATAAAATTTCATTTAGCCACTTCACCGAGAAGCAGTGAATACCACCAAATCTCTGAAAAATGAAAAAATGAAACCAAAAAAAAAAAGAAAACACATAACATATAGTAAAAGACAACAAAAGAAGAGAAAAGTGTGAGTGAACTTACAATTGGATGTGCTAGCAACTCTCCAAAGTTGTATGTGTTTTCTCCAAGCAAAGCTGATAGAGACAGATCAATTGCCAAATCCTAAATAATTTAGATATAGTTAAGTTTAAATGACAGAGCATTTGGCAGCTGCCTGATTGACAATTTGATAATTCACAGATCTTTTAATTAAAAAATAAAGACAACATCAAAATCAGCAATTAAACATATATTTGTCCTGCTACCTTCTGAAAAGAAGCACATAGAGCTAAGAATTTTATAAAACAGTCCTTTCTTCACTATTGAAGAGAAGTTTAAAAAATGTATGCCAAAACAAAACCATAAAGAAACCTAAAAAGTGGAGTTACTCCATATGTAAGTAATTGAGGCAAGATCATAAATAATGGCTGCTTCTGACTCCATCAAATAACATTATATTGCTGAGAATTAACGCAAGGGCAATGCTATAGAAGATTAACCAAGACGTTGACATGGACAACAGTTTTAAAATCGTGGACTTGGACTTGATTGAATTGAATATAGTCACAGTGACAGAACTGAAGAACCCACAATAAACACAGATTTATAAATGGTGAAGAGGATAAGAGGATGGGGCATTTAAAACCACACTCATAAGTTTTTTAGCTATATGTTCCGTATTTCCTTTTGGGAAATTTAAAATGAATAAATACTTATATAATGAATACAAGGTATAGTTAGTGTTCTTGAAGCAGCCTATAATTTAAAAACTTCCGTGAAAGAACATCAATCTTTAACTATCTCTGAGAACATAAATAGTCAGAACACCGGGTAAGTTCTACTTGTATACAGACTAACTCCATATAAAATCGCACACTAAACATTATAACATGCAGTTATTAGCCGGTAAGAAATCGTGTTATTGAGTTGAATGTTGGGATGGGGGCACAAGACTAGGAAAGAGATTTGCTTTGCATACGGAATAACATTCTTTATATATCAACCACAGTAAAAGAATCACATTAAAAGAAGATCAATCAGCAGAAAATCATTTGCACAACAATCAGCGAGATTCCATCAACCATAGAGGCACTGCCTAAAAGAACTATATTGCATACGACAATATAAAGAAACATTGCAGTATAAAGTTATTAGCCGGTAACAAAGTTATAATCAAATAATCAATTAATTACTTTGATTTCATAGTGATAAAACAGCAACGCTTAAATTTTAGGTTTGAGGGAGGAATAATTTAGGATCGGAAAACAAATTTAAGAATTGGGGAGATTTTAGGTCTAAGGGAGGAATAATTCGGACATAGAAGACGAAAAGAATTGGGGATAGACTCTGATTCAAGGGAGGATAAAATACCTGGATAGATACCTGCCGTTTTAGCTACGGTAGTTAAGAAGAGATCGATCCCCTAAGAGATAGTATCAAAGAAGAAAGGGTGGCGGAGGCAGGAGATCGAAAAAGAAAGGCAATATACTGGTTGTTCTCGATGTTCTCGTCGTTCTGGGCTGCAATTGAAAGCTTGAGATCGAAGAAGAACAGCAACAGAGCAGAGCGTGGTTTTGATTCGGTAAACCGATGGTATTTCTTTCAAAATGGTAAACCGACCATGAACTATATCTTTATTCAATCGGTTAATTGAACCTTGGCTTTTTAAAAAAATGGTAGGGTAAACCGAAAAAAAATGGTTTTTCGGTTTTTTCCCACGATTACATGGTTATGGTTTTTTTATGCCCACCCCTACTCACTATTAGTTTTTTTTTTGGAAAAGTGATGTACTTTAGTAGTATTTTTTTTTGGAAAAGTGATGTACTTTAGTAGTATAACATTTATTGGCTTCTAATTCAGTTTGTGAGGTGTATCAAATACTAAGCAAGAAATAAAATTAAAGTTTAAGCTTAACTTGAAATGTAAATGTCTTTATTCATGTTATCTAGATAGGGAAATTTTCTTTTAAAAAAGATGGGGGAAATTTGGAGTGGACTATAAAGGATGTATTTTCTTAACAAAATACTTTCAACTTTTAAATTCAAAAAGTTAGTATCATCGTTTACAGATAGATGTTTGTACTTAAGTTAAATATTTTAGAGTTAAAAGGCTGGAAACCATATGCTTTTACCCTTTCTATTGCACAAAGTGAACTTTTTAATCAAAACTATCACAATTCAAAATCACTATTCTTAAGTTAAATATTTTGATGATTATTAAAACATCATTTGATCTTAACATTATACGTAGTATTTTGTGTTACTGTTTGTGCTTTATCTCGGCCCCCTCTCTTTCCAATCCTTGCTCCACCACTGCTTACTTGGACCCGGGATCATGAAGCCTTAGGATATGATCGTCCAAGACATTTGGAGGGAAAATGAGATATTGATGAAAAACGCATTAAATGCACCAGATATGCAAGATTTGGTGATTGAGAAGCTAGGCACTCATGATCCTTCTCATCACCACCACCACGTGCCTACCCCATGATAGTATAAATAGCAACATTTATTTAATAGTTAGGGATTGACAACTTGTATTCACTAGTAATAGCTCTTATTCTCTGCAATCATATCTCAGAATATAAGCTTGGCTCGGCCGATCAGTAGGGTGTGCTGTAATTGTTTATTATTGATTAATAAGAACTCAGGCCGCTTACTGTTAACTCTTATTTGTTTATAATTGTGCCATTTCACTTACATCATCCACTAAAATATTCATCGAACCCCAAGGGGAACTTGTTGGGCACTTGAAGTTGGAGGAATAAACCTCAACACTTCAAGGGAACTTCTCTGCAAGACAAAGGGAGTATTATTCTTCCCTTGTAAATAAGCATTTCAAATTTATAAATATTAATTTTAATCTTGTTGCAAAATTTGAACACATTATCATATTACTGATATAACATTTTAGTGTGCTTTTTATACTTAATAAAATCAAATTTAATATTTTTAATCTTGGACTATTTCTCATCATACAAAATGTTTTGAATAAATTTTATAGTGCAAAAAATACAAAAAACTAATGATGTTATAAAGGTAAAAGTGAATAAATATATACTAAAGCAACAAAGCAACAATTAAGTCTCTTGGTGGAGTGGGTGAAGCACATGTCATTTGAGTTTAGAGTCCCTAAGTTTGAAATAGACCGGCCTCTGTTTTTTTGATATAGAAATTACTCTAAATAGGAGCAAAAACGTTTTGAAATTTCAAAATAGGAGTATCACGTTTTTTATTTCTTGAATAGGAGTAATCTGACAAGTTTGGGAAAAAATGTCATGTTTTAAAGCCTAGTAATATCAAACTTGGCAGAAATTTACTCCTATTCAAGGAATAAAAATGTAAAATACATGATACTCCTATTTTGGAATTTCAAAACTTTTTTACTCCTATTTAGGGAATTCTCTCTTTTTGATACTTAACATTTAAATGCGATGACATAGACTTGTGATGTGGCGAATAAGTGATGTGGCAACACTAACTAGATGACAAGGAAAAAGCGCCCCTATTTGAGAAATAACTTTAAAAGTTTCATTCTTTGGGAATAAATTTAGAAAGTACCTCTCACACGACGTACTCACGTATCTTGTGGGCCGTTATACATA